TCCAGCAATCAACTTTTAAAGACATTCTGGAGGCCAAGGGTCCATAATTTTGTTTTAAAAACCTCTGCTGGTCTTATCTTGTAGGAATTTATCTAATCTTTATTTGAACCTGTTTATATTTACAGCCTCTTTAACATTCAGTGACAAAAAGGTCCACAAACCATTTGTGAAGTGGAAGGAAAAACACAAGACTACCGTGCAAGATGGGAAACCAGAAAGTGAGACAGGTGCAGGCAATGTGGTTATGTGGTTCCTTCTCCCCTAATTCCAATGGCACTAGACACCCTCACAAGAATTAACAGAGATTAATCTGTGCCGATAGAAAAAATGTCATGTTTTTTTGCTAGTATAGCAGTGATTGATATAGCAGCAGAAATCTTTTTGGAAAAACAGGTTCCATTAATAATATCCATAAATCTTCTTGTACATACTGAAAAAAAAAAACCAAAAAAACCAGCTACCAGAAGTGAAGAAGTTTGAATGTGTATTGGGAGGACTTCAGAAAAGCAAACAAACTTGCTAGTATTAGAGCAATATAGCTCATTGTCCTGGTTTTGGCTGGGATAGAGTTAATTTCCTTCCTAGTAGCTGGTACAGTGCTGTGTTTTGGATTTAGCATGAGAACAATGTTGATAGCACACTGATGTTTTAGTTGTTGCTAAGCAGTGCTGACACTAGTCAAGGACTTTTCAGCTTCCCATGCTCTACAGACTGAGGAGGCTGGAGGTGCACCAGAAGCTGGGAGGGGGCACAGCCAGGACAGCTGACCCAAACTGGCCAAGGGCTATTCCATACCATGTGATGTCATGCTCAGTATATAAACTGGGGAAAGCTGGCCGAGGGGGCCACTGCTCGGCGACTGGCTGGGCATCAGTTGGCGGGTAGTGAGCAATTGCATTGTGCATCACTTGTTTTGTATCTTCTTCTTCTTCTTCTCCTTCTTCTTCTTCTTCTTCTTCTTCTTCTTCTTCTATTTCTTCTTCTTCTTCTTCTTCTTCTTCTTCTTCTTCTTCTTCTTCTTCTTCTTCTTCTTCTTCTTCTCCCCCATCCCACCGGGGGTGGGGAAAGTGAGAGAGTGGCTGTGTGGTGCTCAGTTGCCAACTGAGGTTAAACCATGACACTCATAAGGAACAGCAGAAGTTTAGATACTATGGGTATGTTCCCAGCTGAGAACAAGTACAAAATACGTGGCTGGGCAATCACCAGCCATATGACATTTAACAAGAGCAAGTGCTGGATTCTCCACCTGGGACAGGTTAATCCTGGTTATATGTACAGATTGAAGGATGAGAGGCTATAGAGTAGCCCTGTGGAAAGAGATCTGGGAGTTTGGGTTGATGGCAAGTTGAATATGAGTCAACAGTGTAACCCAGCAGCAAAAAGGGCCAACCATGACCTGGGGTGTATCAAGCACAGCATAACTAGCTGGTCGAGGGAGGTGATTGTCCCACTCTACACTGCACTGGTGCGGCCCCACCTCGAGTACTTATGTGCAATTTTGGGGTCCTCAATATAAGAAGGACATCAAACTACTAGAGTGTGTCCAGAGGAGGGCAACAAAAATGGTGAAAGGCCTCGAGGGCAAGAGTTACGAGGGGCGGCTGAAGTCACTTTGTTTGTTCAGCTTGGAGAAGAGAAGGCTGAGGGGTGACCTCATCGCAGTCTACAACTTCATCAAGGGGGGCAGAAAAGGGGGAGGTGCTGATCTCCTCTCCCTGGTGACCAGCGATAGGACATGAGGAAATGGAATGAAGCTGCATCAGAGCAAGTTCAGGTTGGACATTAGGAAAAGGTTCTTCACTTGAGAGGGTGTCAGTCACTGGAACAGGCTCCCCAGGGAAGCATTCACCACATCAAGCCTGTCAGAGTTCAAGGAACATCTGGATGATGCTCTTTCTTAATCATATGGTTTAGTTTTAAGTAGTCCTGCGAGGAGCAGGGACTTGGACTTGATGATCCTTATGAGTCCCTTCCAACTTGAGATATTCTATGATTCTGTGATTCTACATGGGACACCACTGCTGCAGAGTGCAGTTGACTTTCTGCATCTTATCACCATTTTGGTATTCTTAGACATAAACATGGTGAACCAGGTCTTCCAGAGATGGTCCAAGAAATATTGCTGCATTACTGTAACACAATAAACATCTTATTTCTTATACAAGTACTGTATTTTCAAGGTTATTCTACAGGCAGCCATAAGTTAAGGTTCATCTGAGTGTTTAGAAACCACCTGAGAATTATGTTCATCTGGGCGTTTCCATTTTAGCACTTTCTCTGCCAAAGACCAAATGGGACCATGGGCATGTTTTAGCAGCAGTCATGTTCTGCTGGCTCTGCTATGACGCTAGAAAACTGACCATATCCTTGTATACATCCTTGTGTTCTCACTATTAAATAGTAGACAAAAATGCCAGTTGATGGGTTTGACTGTGTGAAACATGTGGACACAAAGGTCACAGCTATGTCAGGTTTTTGTCATGTTGATAGGAAGTTGTTGTTTGGTCAGCCCCAAATAAAAGCAGAGGTAAGAAATGATCTACCGGATCACCTGCTTGCTTCTTCATAATGGCACAAGATTGCTTTCCCCAGCTGGGTAATACATATCATTAGCAACAAAGCAGAAGAGTACAATTTTCTTATGTAGCATGTAAGAAACAAAATCAAAACAATCACTGATTCCGAAGGTGATTACCAGTCACTTAGCAAAGAGGTGCTGTTATAAGTCTGGATCATGTTTTATTTCAACACTGGAAGCAGCAGGCCATACCATGTCAAACTTTTGTAACCCAAAGTTCCCACTCATCTCAGTAGGGGTTTTGCTTAAAAACATAACAACGTAATGTCAGTAGATGTTGCTGTCTCACCTGAAAACATGCAGCTGCAGATAATGTGATAACAAAAGTAGATAACAATGGGAAAAAAGTGCAAAAATATTTCCAAACATTTTGGATGACAAGCAGATTTTATCGGCTCATTCCATGCCAGTCCTAGAAATGTTATCCCACTGTTTCCCCAAGAGCGCCTTCAGATATATAGCAATATCTTTCTGTATTTACCTGGAAGAAGGAAGTAAGCTTTGGATAGCGGTGATAAATACAAGAACAATAAATGCGCACACCAAGTTTGATTTGAATACTTCGTCCCGCATTTGAGAATACTAGAATAAAAAAAAAAAAAAAAAAAAAAAAAAATTAGCTGTTAACCCATGCAGTGGTTTCATAAAGACTGATGCATATAGGAGGCTTTGGGGAAATAAGCAGGAAGAGATTATAAATCAATAGACCTGAATTTGTTTTTAAAAATGAAACACAACAAATAAATCATTAGTAAGATGGTAAAATACTTTATCCAAGAGAGCAAAACTCTGTAATTTGCAATACAAAGTTGTTTTACTTGGTTGCCTCTTTTTCAATATTATTTGCTTTTAAAATCCCCAGGTAGATATTAGGGGCTGCTAAATAGAATACTAAATAGCTTAACCAGAGGAACCATGGGTTTCCTCACATGAAGACAATCACTGAAGTCAGCTGTAACTGAATGCATGACATTATGGAGGTGTCTTCATGCTTGCCAAATTGAGGCCATTCTGTTTTCTTTGTTACTGTTCTTTTTTAAGAAAAGTATGTAGATTAGGACATTCTGTGACTATTTGGGATGTGGGTCATGATCTGTCTATCCTAACTTATCCAGAGGCTGTGCAGAAGCTTGGCAATGTGGGCATTCTTCAAGGAGAAAATTAAGGTATTATTATGTAAAAGACCATTTGAGGTGCATTATTATTATGATTTATTGCAAAAGTATTTTTCTACAGCATACCAAATCACTGAAAATGCTAGCAGGTTCCCCTTTTCTGTGAGTTACCAAGAAAAGGAGTAAGGGATACATCGGTGAATCACAGTGGATCAGTCAAAGTGGAAACGTTACCCACGTCCTCAGCTGGTATTTATCACTGCTAATTCAGTTAAACTCCAACTGTTTACAGCAGATGAAGATTGGTCCATAGACATATTTTTGTAAATCTCTTTATCCTATCCTGATGCCACTAAATTTTCTTCACCTAATAAAAAATCCCACAGATGTCTGCCCCAGTCATTTTTCCTCCTCTGAGCAATAACTCCATTTTATTTAATCTCTTTAAGTTTTGAAGGAGCTAAGAGTTACATGCGCAGAACAAAAGGAAATCAGAGTAAAGAGATATCAGATACCAGAATCTTCCTCCAGCAATTTGGAAATAAGACAAACTGCAGTTATAAATGCCTAGAGAGCATTATAATTGAGAAAAATTAAAACCAATTAGAAATGTATCAAGTACATACATTGAGAGAGTTCAGCTATGAACTGCATTTTATAGCTAATCTGCTCTTGAAGGAAGATCCTTTCTAGACTTAGACTATATTCACTACATGGACCTTCAGTATGGACTTCATGTCAGTTATAAACATCTGGTCAAAATAGCCTCAAGCTCCTGAAATGGGAAAAAGGCTTCTCTCTTCCCTGCTCCCATTTGTTATGAGTAAGAGAGGGGGTTTATTTGTTGGCATCCCTCATTTTGACTCCTCCTATGCTTTGGTTATACGCTGTGTGTGCTGTCGGCAGAAGCAATATCACTTTGACATGATTTTCAGTGGTACTCACGGGCAACTTCACTTCATTTTGCTGCTGGAAGCACAGAGGCACTGTCCCTGATTTCATGTGCAGGAAAACAGAACTGCATCAGTCTGCTTAAATAATGGACCAGGACTTTTTTTGGTTGCGGCACAAAAAGAACCAAAGGGAAAAAGAAAGGTACGTTCCTTAAAATATAACATGAAATCCCAACTGTTCCTTAGGGAAATTATAGCAAACTAATTGAATGAAACACAAACATGGAATTGCCTGCTGTGTTGAGCATTATGTCAAAAGGATGAATGCTGTGGTCTAATCAGTAACAATGTTGTGATGAGAAATTGTTAGCATCTCTGAGGCAGCACAAACACCAATGATAAACGTAGCACTTCTGTAGCAGTCTACCCCTTATTGACTTGGAGAAGTAATTGAAGGATAGACTAAGCTTCAAGGCACTTCCATAAATGTGGGGAGGCATGTAGCCAACTAGAGCCATGTAGGGTGGTAGGAAGAATCATGATGTGACCTACTCTGCAATGAAAACCTTAGCTGCAACATCCCACAGACCTACCTGCACTGGCATCACTTGCTCATGGCGTAGCGAAGGCTCACTCTGCTCCCCATGGCACTTGAGCCATTTGCCTGTGCTGTTGCGGGGGCACTGTTTATCTACTGGCTAGCCCAGCCAGCTAGCTGAAACTGAGCTTGCATAAGAAAGGCCAGGTTTCCTCTGCCAAGTAATGCTGCTTATTCCCCACCTCTCCTCTCTTTTTCAAGGGCTCTTTGAAAGGGGAGTACCAGTAATATAAGAGGCTTTACATGTTCACCAAGAGAAACTGTTTGTGCACTGGGGAGGAAGGTTTTTGGTCTTATCCTCACTGCTGCTCTTTGACTCAGATAGCACCTTATGGATGAAAAGGGAGACCATGGGTTTTTTTCTTCAGAGCGATGGTGTTTGTGTCACTGGAAAAGCTTTTGCAGTACAGGGGAGGGAGAGAAGAAGATGTATCAGGAAGCCCAAGGCAGGAGAAGAGCTGGATGAACTCCTGAGAAGACCACAGGGTAGACACAGATACAGTTGTTGACCAATGACAGAAAGAAGATGCTGAACAGGCCCAGAATTTGCTCAGTGTTTCTTGCAGACCTTCTTGCCACTGGAAGTTTCTGGGTTGAAGGAAAGAGGTGAGGCCCATGTCTACAAGGATACAGCATGCTGGAAGGGCATTTTTTTTCCCCTACTCTTTTAATTTCTATTTATCTTACCCGTCAGAAATTCTGAAACAGAGAAACTCAGATATTTAAGTCTAATATTTGACCTAAGAAAACCTGTAGTGTGAAATTCAAAGCCCTTTTGATATTTTCAGTGTCCTCACCTCACAGAAAATATGTAGACACTTCACCTCTAAGCCCAATCTGATTTATGACCCCAATACAAATATGCAGGAAGACTTAGAATATCTTTATACAAATCTTTACATTGGAAACTTTCCTTAACAAAAACCCTACCAGCATGTAAAATTCCCTGTCCTGTTACTGTTCTTTATCCTGTATGAAAGTACATGGTACTGATATTTCCAAGTCATTGCTATTAAGGTAGAGCATCATAATGATATCTTTTAATCATTGGAAATAATCTAAAGTAGTATCAGATTTTCCTTATGAGCTATTACATATTTGGAAACCCTTAGTGTATTTTCATGCTACCATAGAAGTACTCTCCTGTGATGAGTCTTTTGCTCTATCTTCCTATATCCTATTTATGAAAATAACCTCTAGCAAAATTGAGAGTGAATTAGTCTCTAAATGAGATATCAAGTGCTAATGAGTGAAATACAGGTTAGTAATGACTAGTCCATTTGGATAAAGAATCTATAAAATATACCAGGTGGAGATCCTGCACAAATCCTTGGAAAAATGAAGTATTATAAAATTAATGTGGATGTATAAATACTGCCTCAGGGAGATAACCCATTCGCTAATGCAACCGTTACTGCTTGCCGTGGAATCTACATTTATTCTATCACCAAGAAGGACATAGAGCAATGAGATAAGAGAGGAGTGGGAAGATGTACCAATGGCTTAAACTGCTGTGATGTAGCAGTCATTTAAGCCATTGTAAACCAGGAGCTGTGCTAGCTCCCATGGTAGTTTTGGGCATGCTGATTCCAGATTTTTTTTTTTTACCTCTTGAAACCTTAAAGAAAGCAAAACAGCATTTTCATTGTTAGCATAAATCTGCTGTCTGCAATTGTTTTACAATGAAAAAAACCTGAAACAACCCAAACTGTTTAAACAGAAGTCCAGCATGACATTTCAGATCTATTCAAGTCACCTCAAAAGATTTATGATCCCACTGCATAGTAGTCCTGTTACTAATGCAGGAGGAAGAAATACAGTTTATTGTTCATATGGTTACTCACTTCTCTGTGGTTTGAGGTACAGAGCATTAACACAATTCTCACCAAACAAGGTTAATGTAGCACTTCTTGATTGGGATTTCAGCTATGGGTACTGGTTGTTCTGCCTACTGAATAACTGCAAAGTCTGGGGCGAGAATTACTTAGAGATAAAAGAAATAAGTATCAGGCAGATGCCAGCGGATAAAGAATCTATAAAATATACCAGGTGGAGATCCTGCACAAATCCTTGGAAAAATGAAGTATTATAAAATTAATGTGGATGTATAAATACTGCCTCAGGGAGATAACCCATTCGCTAATGCAACCGTTACTGCTTGCCGTGGAATCTACATTTATTCTATCACCAAGAAGGACATAGAGCAATGAGATAAGAGAGGAGTGGGAAGATGTACCAATGGCTTAAACTGCTGTGATGTAGCAGTAATTAAGCCATTGTAAACCAGGAGCTGTGCTAGCTCCCATGGTAGTTTTGGGCATGCTGATTCCAGATTTTTTTTTTTTACCTCTTGAAACCTTAAAGAAAGCAAAACAGCATTTTCATTGTTAGCATAAATCTGCTGTCTGCAATTGTTTTACAATGAAAAAAACCTGAAACAACCCAAACTGTTTAAACAGAAGTCCAGCATGACATTTCAGATCTATTCAAGTCACCTCAAAAGATTTATGATCCCACTGCATAGTAGTCCTGTTACTAATGCAGGAGGAAGAAATACAGTTTATTGTTCATATGGTTACTCACTTCTCTGTGGTTTGAGGTACAGAGCATTAACACAATTCTCACCAAACAAGGTTAATGTAGCACTTCTTGATTGGGATTTCAGCTATGGGTACTGGTTGTTCTGCCTACTGAATAACTGCAAAGTCTGGGGCGAGAATTACTTAGAGATAAAAGAAATAAGTATCAGGCAGATGCCAGCACTGCCTGAAAGTGTAATGGCTAAATGTGAGGGCACAAGATTTTACATGGAAGTTACTTTACTTCAGAGCTATTTCTGACTTGAAGCTGCCACTGGTCTGAACAGAAGGTGAGTGGTAGCAAATGAAAGCGGCAGTGTGAGATGGGAGGTCCATAGACATATACTCTCTACTTGCTCAGCATCGCTGCAGGGAGCAGCTCAAGATGCTGATGTAGAAGGTCATGTAAGCAGTTGCAAAATGTTAATGACTAGAAGAAAGCATAATTCCAGACTGAAAGGTTAGGGGTGGGGAGACCAGAGGGAAAAGGCTTCTGAAATAGCTTTATGAGACTCCAATTTAAATCTGAGTTTGGTTTTTTTTGTTTCCTAAATGGGCAGGAAGAAGGGAGAAAGTGATTGTAATATAAGATAACATGGAGGAAATAGCTACTTTCTGTAGCAAAACAGTCTACACATTATTTTCTTCATGACTGCCTGTAGACTGTAGTTTAAAACTAAGGCTACAGGGACAAACCTGTAATTACTGCACAGGCAAAGAAGGAGGGAAGGGACATTTCCCACATTGTCCCACAAAACATTGCCCCTGCCTATAATGAAGAGGACACTGTGATTCATCTTTCCTTAATCCACATCATCCCTTTGAATCCTGGTGCGTTCCCCATCCTTCTCTGAGCACACCTATGGTGCCCTAGCACCCTGAACACAAACGATGGAGACTGCTGACCAGCAATAATCCAGCTGTTGGAGGTGAATGAGCCAGAGCAAGTAAAACAATGCTGATATTTTTTAAAACTGTACTCCTGTGTCATGCTAAAAACCAGACTGATTTAGAGGACAGAAGGAAGATTCAGTCCACCTTACAGAAAGGATTTTGTGTTTGTATTGCCTGTGCTTACTGGTTGGGACTAGCACCTAAGGAAATATTGAATGAAAGCACCATTTTTTAAGCATTGCAGCACAGGTTGGCATTGGAAATGTCATACTGAGAAGAAAGTGTATCAAAACTGCTCAACATGTTGACTTTTAAATAGACTTTTTGTCATCCAGATGCAATTCAAAATGTTATTAATATTTAAAATCTGACCTATGGAATGTGATGGATTAGAGCATTCCCCCCCCCCTTGTTTAAATTGCATTTAAATGAAAATCTACCCTTTCTGTGTAGATTTTCCTTTTGGCTGATAATTGTGAAGTTGAAAATGACAAGAAAGTTTATATTCTGAATACAGGATCTGATTCTGGGCAGTGTCCCTTTACTCCAGCCCGTGTTCAGGCCTGCCTCATTTTTGTTAAATAGTAATGTAAGACTAGGTGAACCATTGATTAGGTCGCTCATTCAACAAGTTGTTTGTGACTAGGCTGTTTCCTCTTTTGCACAAAAAAATTCTAATATGCCACCCCCTACCTTCTAGGTTAAATGTTATTTTGTCTAGACTTTTTCACTTTATCTTTTGACCTTGTGCCTTGAAAAGATTAAAGATTACTCATGACTTTTGGGCCTTTAGATGGTAATTCACAGGACATCAGAAATCTTGAATTTCACTTCCTCTGGGTCCCTGTCAGCTTCGCATGATGATTGCACTGAAAGAAATGTCTACATATCTTCTGTTGTAGCAGTAGTGGCTAATTCAACTTCGGGTATTCTACCTTGTGTCTCAGTGTCATAAATATCCTCATGGGGAAATTGTATCTTTTCCTTTTTTTAAATGAACCTTTCTTTTTCATTCTGCAGGATTGCTTGTGAAATAAGGGCTTAAATATACTTCAAGAACAATTTTTCTTTTCCAGTGGTTTTCATTAAGCTCTCACCACTGATACCACCTGAAGACTGGTCTCCCATAAGTCAAGCAAAAAAGTCTGTTTTCCAGTGGAGGTTAAAGTGATGATGGAGAAGTTGGCCTTCATGCTTGCAATTCCTTGTTATTTTTCTTTCTTTTCAGTCTAAGTGTACATCCTATCACAGACCTGCTGCTGCTGCACTGTAATAGCCTGTAAGTCAATGAAATCACTTGAGAACTCTGCAACCCCACCCCACGTCATCAGTTTGCAAGGAAAATCCTCACAATGCCTTATCTTTTTTAACTTATATCTTACACCTGGATGTAGACTGAAATAGAAATCAGTGAAATCATACTGCTGTTGAGAAGCAGCAAAGACATGAACAATATTTACCTCTTAGAAGCAGAAGTTAAAAAAAGGATGTTTAAAACAAAGAGTTGACAAATTAGTTTTGACTTGAAATAAACATAGCAGCTGCCTAGAGGACATCAGATGGATCCTATGACTAAATGAAAGAAACGTATCTATATATAGATAGATATATGTTTTGAAAAGAAGTGTCAGTTTATTAATATGCTCAATCACCATTTGTGCCAAAGCAACCTGTCATCTGACAGAAAACTGTTTGTACTAGACAGAAAATGAAACCCAGCAAATGGCTGTTGTTTTCAGAAGCAGAGTTTGCTCAGTGTAGTCATTTTCCAACAATGAAATGTAATCATTGCAGCATTATAACACCTGCATCATGACACTGTCTATTATTACCTCTAGCTCAGTCCCAACTTCTGAAAACTGAAGCAAAATGAAAAAGAAAAACAAAACCAGGAAACAAACAACGCAAGCTAGAACCTACAGCTTCTCTACTTCAGTGGACATTTATTACAATTTGAGTTGTGAATAATGCAGCTACCAAGACCCAGCTACCTTATGCTCCAGGCTGGAGTCTTTAAACATCAGTGAAAAAGGCTTGATATGCTCTCTTCTCAATTTATCGCCACTCCGTAAGTCGATGGTGTGCTCTATTCGCTTGTTAATTTCCTCAGGCCCAGACTGGACATGCAAAGCTTGTGCAAGATGGTTTGGAAGCAGATTTATTGAATTTCTTGTTAGGGCAGCCAGAGTCTAGGGGAAAGCACATGCAAACAGAATAAACCTGCTGGTCCCCTTGGGTTAAAAATGCAATGTTTTAGATCATGTTACATTGCAAACCATTACAGCATTCCATGCAATTCATTCAATGAAATCTATAGAAGTGTAAAATAATGTCTGTTCCACTAAACACATACAGTACATTAAAGGGAGTGCTTTAATGCCCACTTTTATACAGACTAGGAGGTTTGCTGCTGCACTGAACACTAGGAATATATTCCCCATTCCAGATTCTGCTAATTAATTATTGGAGCATGCATGAGGGGAGTACACGCCAAAATCACAGCAGGGTGTCTAACTCAATGGTGTGTTTTAACAACTAAGAATGGAAGCTACAGAAAACAAGTGTCACAAAACAGGAGTAATGATGTTTTTCTTGATCTTAAAGTTACTGGATGTGTGTAGTTTAGGAACAGATCAGTTAGGCAGGAGTGAAGAAGGTGACATTTTCTGATTACTTCAGCATGGGTTTTCAAACAACACATTCTTCTTCACTACTCATATTTCAGCCAGTCTAGATTACAGTTAGGCTATATGATTTAATTTAACTGTAATTCATATTATTATTTTAAATATTATCTCGAATGCATTATTCCTTTGGTATTTCATTGACCAATCAAAAGAAAGAAAAGACTTTTGCACAGCTTTGCAAAGGAAAGCTAGCGGAGACAGTATGAAGGGTGCGTCACCTTCAGGAAAGAGGTAGAGTTTGCTTTCATAAGGAGAATAACTCAGTCCAGTTTCATGGTATCATTTCATGACACAAACCACAGTGAAGCAGCACTTTCCCACTTGAGTGGGAAAATTAACTCTACTACCTGTGATATTCCCAAGGGTTAACAAATGTTAATGAATGGAAAGGATATAAACCTCCATACATCACAGCATAAGACATTTCAGAATTATTATGGACAAGAAATACACTTCTGCTTGAGAAAAGTTATCCCATAGGTCCCTGCTGGAAAGATCTTCTGCTATATCTCCTACTGGGCATTCTTGGGAACAGGAGTTTGGGATGGATTTATCACTAGATTTCTTTGGAAATCCAATTCTTATGGATCATGGGATTACATACAGAAAATGATATAGGGAGGTTTCCCTTGTTTGTTTTAAAAGTATAGTCAACAATTAAATTCTAATGAATCTTGGAGAGCACATTGAAACACAGGATGGATCTCAGGTACCCACTGTCAAACCCCAAGAGACAACTTCCTTTACAATCCTAAGCTAAAGTCCAAGGACTCTGTAGTCACAGATAGGATCTTGTTTTCTGATATTCTGTCTTTTGATGAGTAACTTAAAAGCCCAATATATAGTCAGAAAAGGATATCAGGACTGAAATCTTCTGTCTATTGAAGTGAAAAGCAATCTTTCTGTTTGCTTTAGTAGAAAATGGACTTCAGTAGAGACAACTAGATTGGGCACTCTACTCAAATCTTCCCTCCAGAAAAACAATATCATCAACATTTAGAGAAAAAAAAGTATCAAGGAAACTTTTCTCATACTAAAGTTTCAGATATGCCTGAATCCATATCTTAGCCTTGGAGTTAAAGTGGAAACTCTAAGGTTGGAGCCAAATCTCAGGAAACAATCCATTGAGTCAACTGGATAAATACTGTATTATTAACACTAAGGCACTACTTCAGTTTAGGTGTTCCTATCTCTTTTAAACTGAGCTATGCAGAAAAGTTATTATCAATTTCTGGTGGCTGTAATTGCACAAGTGGGTCTGAAGTCACTGTTAAAGAACGAGATCACATCAGATGCTGTTGCATGCATTAATACCTCATCATTAGTTCATATTTCTATATCTCCACTGGAAGTGAGGGTGCAGAAGGTCCCTAATGTTTTAGTTGGGCATTGTGTTTTATTTACATGAGGAGACTGATCTCAATTCATCCTAGTAAGTGACTACATTTTGCTTCAAATTATATTTTAAAATTTGATTAATATGAAGAACTGTCTTCTTGCTGAACGTATGAAGTGGTTTACGATTTGTGGTAGATGAACATGACATAATATCACCACTATGGCAACAGTGCCAGTAGTATTGGTGCAAAAATGGACTCTGAAGTTGCATTTATTTTCAGAGGATAACAAGGAAACTCATATTTGAGTTTAGTGGAGTCTTCTCTCCCTCACACCCATACACATCCTTAAGACAACAGCTTCCCTGTAATTAGTAATAACAATAATGAAAAAAATCATGCAAATTAGTCCCAAGAATATGTTCTAACCACATATCCCCCTCTTTGCTCTGCATCTTTTAAGACTGTGTTATGCCAGCGTAAAGAAATATTGGTTCTCCCTATTACCTCTGTTACACTTTTGTGAACAGCTGTATGGAAGATACAGTTGTGAATCCTGCAATGGGCTTTTGAACTTTCCTGATGCTGACAATAACCATTCATCATACAGGAACATATACAAGGTTCTGTTAAGAAAAAGCCCAGCCAAACTTGCATCTGAGACTAAAAGATAAGATGAATTAAAACAAACAAATATAAAACTCCAACTTTAGAGATATTTTACAGAGATTTAAAAGAGGTAGGTGGGATTAGATTTTACTTCCTTCCGGAAAGTTTTCATGCAACAAGTCCAAGCATTCTGACCTCAACAAGAAAGGAAATTTTTAATTTAGAAAACTCTAGGAAGGCTTCAAATTATTTTTTGTTCATACTACAAACACCGGGTCTTGGATAGAAAGAGGAAAATAGAAGGTCATATGTTTAAAGATACAGGATATGGGTAGGATTTTGTTCAAGAGGGAGACACCTAAATGAAGGTGTCTAGGTGTTTGGTGTCTAAGCTTCTGTTACTGGCAATACACACTCTGGATACTTTCAGTTGCCTAATCATATGCAGCTATAGTCAGTTGAGATGCCTTAGGGTATCCTGGACAACAGTCTGGAGCTATAAGATATGGCACAACACCTACAGGAACCTCATGCACTGCTGGTCAATGGTGGGGACCTGTTGGAGTGTGCTAAGGTATCTCAAACTGCAGTAGACAGCCATAGTTAAGAAGCTGAATCAAGCTCTTACTCAGCATGTTTCAGCATAGGTGTTTAGCACTATTTGGGACTTCAGAGTCTCTTACCTGGCTTCTAACTGATAGTCCAGATGATCACAGGTCTTTTATAGGCTCCTCGTCATATGGATGTCTCAGACACCCTAGACAACCGCATATAACACTAGACCCTTATGTTTAGGAGCTGAGCTGTGTGGGAGATCAACACCTGGGACAGTCAGTAGATACACAAATGCAAGTGCCTTGGTTTTGAACTGAATTCCACGCTGTTCTTTATACTTGTCTGTCATCTTGACAGTCTTGAAGTATAATTTTTGTGATAACTGGTAAGAGTCGTCATAGCCATCACTAAAATATCCTTATACAAGACACAGACATTTTAATTTGCCTTTTTCCTAATTCATGTCATTACAGGCCCATCAGATGCCTCCAGCACCACACACAGTGACCATATTATGCTTTCAGCTACTTCTTTTGGAAGGCCCAGAGAAGAAATCCAACTTCATCAGCTATTAATTTATTTTAGAGGAGGAAGCCTTAGAATCATAGAATCATAGAATCATAGACTCATAGAAT